GGGCAGTATCCTGGGAAATCTAAAAGACATGGCCCTGAACATAGGCAATGAGATTGATGCTCAAAATCCACGAATAAAACGAATCACAGACAAGGTAAAAAGCTTTTAATTGCTATAAGAAAATGAGACATCTGGTTCAGTGTTTCAGTAATAGACATCTGTGCTAGATAATGTGGGGGACACAGTAGGATAAGCTCCTATCTTCATAGGTCTTAGTTCTGATGAGGTGGTGGTTCTAACGCATAAAACAAGAGCCAAGTCCTCCCTTCTCATGGCAGTTGGTGCATTTTGAAACTACTATTTTGGACTGCAGTAGTTTTAAACCTTCACATATGAAACTTAATACCTACTTTAGCCTTTGAGTGTGCTTTTTTTTCTCCCAAATGAATAAGTTTTATTTTTTAATTAATTAATTTTTTTTTTTTTTTTTAAAGACGGGGTTTCACCATGTTGGTCAGGCTGGTCTTGAACTCTCAACCTTAGGTGATCCACCCGCCTTGGCATCCAAAGTGCTTGGATTACAGGCATGAGCCGCCATGCCCGGCCTTTAATTAATTTTTTAATTGAGAATGGGTTCTTGCTGTGTCGCCCAGGCTGTAGTGCAGTGGTACAATCACAGCTCACTGCAGCCTACCTCCCAGGCCAAAGCAATCCTCCCACATCAGCCTATTTTGTTAACTAAAAATAAAATTCCTGAATCCTCATCTTATGAAAGAGTCCGTAGGTGAAAATCAGTTCTGCAGAATAGTTCTTATGGAGTGGACACACAAAATAGACTTATCTGAGTGAAGAAAAATTGTGATTCTTTTTTTTTCCTCTTAACTTTACATGATAAATATATTGAACGTGAAATTGTTTACAGTGTTCTGATGTGTCACATCTAAAAGTCATACCATGGCCAGCCGTGGTGGCTCATACCTATAATTTCAACACTTTTGGAAGCTGAGGCAGGAGGATTGCTTGAGCTTAGGAGTTTGAGACCAGACCAAGACCTGGACTCTACTAAAAAAGTTTAAAAATTGACCAGGCAGGGTGGTGTGTACCTGTTGTCCTAGTTATTCAGGAGGCTGAGGTGGAAGGATTGCTTGAACATAGGAGTTGAAGGCTGCAGTGAGCTGTGATTGCACTATTGCATTCCAGCCTGGGCAACACAGCGAGACCCTGTCTCAAAAAAACAAAACAACTGTCATATCTCATTAAAATCTCAGTGAACTTTAAAGTTTAGGGTCAGTTTTTAAGCTTGGCTCTCTGTTAAATCACTTATGATGGATTTCATAGAAACAGTGGTTCACAGAATCCTTTAAATGCTGCAATCTGGGTTTAGGCTACACCTGTCATTTTAATTCAGATGTTGGTGTGGATGGTAATAGATTTGCTTTAAAGATCTTTGGAAAGGTTATTTTAGTCTCTCTAGGTTAGACTTGGGGCAGCTTCAGATGAGATTCTATGATTCAGTTTAGAGAACTCCCACAAGGTCCAGATCTCTAACAGAGAAAAGCACTCTATTGCATCAAAAAAAAAAAAAAAAAATGCCATTGATTACAGGATACATCCTAGTTTTAGGCATGTTAAACTATGAAAAAATGTATTACAGAATTGATGAAATATTGGCAAGGTCTTATATGTTATACCTTTGTCATGTTTATATACCAGGGTTTTTCCAAATGAATTTCATATTCTATTACTTCTCCCCCAACGTGAGTTTTATAATGTAACTTCACGTGGTTTCTTGGATTTTCTCAGTGTGTCAGTTACTCCAAGTGTAAAAAGTTTAATTTTTATTAGAGTTACTTACCTTGTGAAGTAATGCTGGTATCTTTCTTGTTTTTCAGGTTGACACCAACAAAGATCGTATTGACATTGCCAATGCCAGAGCAAAGAAACTCATTGACAGCTAAAGCTACTGCTGTACTTGTTTATCATTTATTCACTTCCGTTGCTCCTCCTCAAAAGTTGTTACCTTTTCAGAGTTTAAATTTTCAGTTCCACACACTTCTGATTGGGAGATAATGGGCCAGAGCAGTAACAGCCCTCCTGCTTTTTTGTTTTCTGTTGGGGGCCGACTGCTGCTTGGCCTTCCTTCTAGTATTTTC